AGTTGTTTGTTGAAGGCAAGAAGAGAAACCTGTTCTGTTTTTTTTAACAGCTTCTTCATGGCATGGTGTGAGAATTTCATGCTCAGGTGTGCCTCCCAGCCCTGTAATCACTTTGAAGCAGCAGGAGGTGATTGTGGGTGAAAGCAGTTCCCTGGAGCCTGGCATTCCAGAGTCCCGGGGTATAAATTACATACAATATCTTGCAATCCAAAGGCTTCCCATTGCTGCATTTCCCTGTGATTGTCTCACCAGCCCAATTAAATTATTTTCCCATCTCGCTCTTCCCCAAAGCTGGAAACAATTAGAGTTTATACAGGATAAAATAAATTAAAAGCAATTTACAGTCAAACTTTTTTGGCCTTTCTGTAGCATTTGGAAGGTGGGGAGGTCTTTTTGTGCTTGTCTGAGATAACAGATCCAGCTGCAAAAACCAGTGTGGCTTGCATCTTCCTTTGGCCGTGATAGAACTGAATGTTCCAGATGAGTGTGGGCAATGCCTAGAAGTCAGACGCAGAGAGCTGCACCTCTGGTGTTTTTTGGGCACTGTCAGACGTAGAGACAGAAACCTGAGCCATTTCTACGAAAGGTTTATCAGAGTGTGACTCCGGGAGGTCCACCACAAGCACAACTCTCTTGGCTGCTGCACTTTTCTCACTGACAAGCTGGAAGGGGTCAGACTCTTGGAAAGACGCCTGGTTAGAAGAGTAACAAGATGCTCTGCGTGGAGCCAGATTTGTAAACTCTACTCTCTTTACAAAATAATTTCTGTCCCAACAGGCAGGGGAACTAGTTCCCGGGAAAGGCATTTTAAGTTCAACTGGAAGTGTTACTGATAAGGGATAGGGGTGCAGTTATTGGAATATGTTCAATAGCCCATCGAGACCATTTGCAAACAGTCTTTTGAATAGGGGTCCTGCCAGTTGTGGTGTAAGAAAGGGACAGTTTGCTGACATGTTTCATTTCAAATGACTAAAGAAGCACTTTCCCTAATATTTGAAATACATAGGTATTGGACTCACCGTGTCACTGAAGGAAACAGTGGAAGCATTGCTTTAGAAGATAACTCAATATGAGAGTCAAAATAAGCCATTTCTTTTTTCATCTGGCAGGTTCCAATCCATCAAAATCTTAAAGAGCTCCTGGCCATCCGGGCGGAGCTTCAGAAGAAGGTTGAAGATCTGCAGCGGGAAGCGGCGACGCGATCCATTTCTTCCTCTTCTGATCGAGGTTCATCTCCCTCCCATTCAGCCACACCAGTGCACACCTCTGTGTGATATCTAACAAAAGCCATGTGAAAAAATTCGTCAGGTAACACAGAGAGGAGGGTGCGATGCTTTTCCCATCACAAAAGGATTGTGAGTGACTTGTAATTGCTATGATCTACATGCCTTACTCTGTGTCTGGTATTATCGTGATGAGGCCAAAAAGAGCTTCAATAGATGTGATGTATTTTCTTGTTGGCAGTTCCTACGTGTTTTGACATCTCTAGCTAAATCACCAATTGTGAAATTAAACTTTGTTTTGAACAACTAACAATTTAACCATCCTAAAAAGGAATCCATCTGCCAAGCAGACAGAAAAATGCCTCTCACGCTGCCTGGGGTACCATGCCTGGTTGAGAGCATCAGATTAAATGGCACATGATGCTTACACAGAACACAGAACGTTTTTCTGAATGGGAGCTCCTTATTTCACTCAGTAATATTATTTTTTATTTTGCTAGAGCATTTTATTTTTTTTAGGTAATTAATGGACTTGGAAATTGATTTTAAAAGAAATGTTTTCCAGTGTAGTCAGTTTTACATTTTGACTAAGTATGCCATTAAAAGTGGATGAAGTTAAGCTGGATTTATCAAGTACACCACACTGACGTGTATGATGTAATATATTTGGTAAAGCATGTATTTTAGGTTTTTTAATGCCTTTTGTACAAGTTGAAATAAAGTCTTTTGACTGTTTAGCTTATTGTTCAGTTTCAGCCTCCTGAGCAAGGGGTAAACTTATTCATGTCAAAGTCTTGTACAAAGTAAAAGTTTGTTTTCTAGCAAATGGTAATATTTGGGGTTGGAATGACACCCAGCTGTGTAAATTGTATAGTCTGTATAGCTCCACATTTTGTTAAGCATGTTTTGTTTTAAAGTGTACACACAAAATGCAAAGCTGTGTCCCTTTATACAGATGTATGTGATGTGAAACATATGCAAACTCCCGTGGTTTTGAGCTGTAAGTTCAGAAAATGGATCCTGCCTGTCCAAACTCTTTTGAAGACCTTAACTTGTAATGACTTTGTTTGACAAAGTTTTTAAATAATATGATCGTAATTGGTTTTCTTGAAATAAAGCCTCTTGGCTTTTTGTTTTTTAAATTGCTGCTAGCATTTTTTTCTGTAAAGTGAATAATTTAGTGGCATTTTCATATAAAATATACATTTCCAACTGTCTTTCATCTCCCCCCTAAAATATTCATATCGGAGAGATTTGATTTCTGTTACATCCAGCCTTTTAAAAAAGGATTCCGTGGCTTTCCTGGAAGGCCCAGAAACGGTGCATGCTGAAAACTTTCCCTGGATTGTTTTCCTTGCTGTTTTCGTGAGAATCTGGTTCTTCTCCTTAGGGCACTTAATCACTGCAGCTCTGCTTTTTGACTTGTGCTTGTGTTGCCCAAGTTCTGGTAGTGCGAATTAAGCCTCGTTCTTAAGAGCCAGTTGATTCTATATGCTGAACTGTGGTTTTTACTGCCTGTGAGTATTCATTTATTACTGCGCGTTTGTTCTTAATACGCGACGGCGCTTCCCTGTTTCTCTGCCTTCACGTGTGTAACGTGTAGTTAATGCGTAAGGAGAGCCATGAGCATTTCTGCAGCCTCAGCTGGAAAGGCAGATGTGCTGTGTCCAGTCTTACGAGTTTACTGTGCAGTGCAGGGTATTTCCACATGTCCTTTTTATTATCGTGAATGCTTTTTTTATAATAGATACTCACCTACCAGAACAAAGCTTAGGAAAACTTGCAGTGTTGCATCTCTTAATCGAGCTCAGGCTTTTTATAAATGGATGAAAGGTGTTTTCTTGTAAAAATGGTTCTGCTGAACAATACGCCAGCAGTGAATTTTACATTGCCAAAATATGTTGAGCTGGTATTGAATTAAACTCTTCCATACTTCGGATTTCCTTGACATTTTAACTGTATATTAAAGTAAAGCACATTATCTCTAAAATGCAGTGCTAAAGAAAATCTTTTGAAGTTTTCCTCTTCATTGCTGCTAATAATCACAACATTTTCTCTATAATTATTGTAAAAGTGATGACTGGATTAGCTTGGGCATTCTGAGATTTTGAAAGCTTGGATTCCTAGAGCTCGGTTTTGCATAGGAGAATAGCAGTGATTTCAACTGACTGTCTGTTTATCCACAAGTTTGAGCCTGGCTGAGTGAGTCTGCTCTGATCCACGGGAGAGCGCTGGGGGAGGGCTCCTGCTGCCATCCGTGTGGGCACAATGGAGGTTCTTGGAGGTACTTAGCATGGAGATTGTCAAAGTGCTATATAGCTCATATATGCTAGTTACAGCAGAGTCTTACATGGAAGAGGTGACTGTCTTTGTACTCAGTCTGATTCCTGATAATCAGATTTTTTCCTATTGATTTAACAACTACTTCTGTCATTATTTTTTAAACTGGTGGGGGAAAGAGCAGGATCCTGTTTCCTCTCTGATTTTCCTCTCTGATTCCTCCCTTCAAGAGAACTATTAACTTTTCATTCAAAAGCTAGATACTCTTTTGCTTCAGTTTTTCATTTTGACTCTGCCAAGCATAAAGAGAATGTGCAAAGACTGCGAGCAGTTAAATGTGACCTGCAGGATTTTCCTGTTGTCAATGACACGTGAGAGGGGGAACAACCTGAATCCGGTGTCCCAGAAAGGGCTGAAGCCTTGGTAACCAACTGAAACAGTTTTTTGATTATGACATAAATTAAGTGAATCATCAGCATCAGATGCTTTGCCTTTTTAGTCCTGTTTCAGAGCTGAATTACACTTTTTCCTCCTTTGTAGATAAAAGTTGTTTTTGTTGTTTCGTTAAAATGGAAGAAGGCGTTTAAAGCTGGTAAACACTCCTATCTGCCTGGTTCTGTTCCCTGCATAGGCAGCCTTCCTCGCAAGGAGTTAAAGCTTTAAACAAGAAGTGTTTGATTTTTCTCTTATTTTCCAAGAAAAGCTGTACTGATTCACATGCCGTATGTAGTAACACCAAGAATGGCTGGTTCTCCTAACAGAGAGCAGTTGTTGGGATCAACAGCTCCCATTCATTGAGCCCCACAGCAGAGGACAAAGTAAATTGGACAATTTAGAGTATTCCCAACCTACAGCTTTTCTGTTAAAAAGGAAAAAGAAAATAGCCATTTGTTGAGAGATCAAATCTGCTGAACTAAGTGGGTATCTTTAATATTAGAGATCTTTTGACTGCCGATCCGCTGAACTAAGTGGTTATATCTTTAATATTAGAGATCTTTTGACTGCCAGATCTTGTGCAGTTGGGAAGAATTTCATTTCTACAACAGGTATGAGTTGGGAGTAGCTAGTTTGAAATAGAAGCCACTTTTTTTGACTGTGAGACTACGTGCTGCATCGTTATACACAGGTCAGAAGTGTAGTTTGCACTGCATGGGAGACTCACCCACTGGATGTGACATTCCAAAGAAAACTGCAGGAAACCTGGGGCAGCGAAAGGGACCAAAACCCAGCCGTGCTGGGAGCAGCCAGGGACACGGGGCACTACCTGGAGTTTAGCAGCTGGGTGACCCGAGGAGAGTGTGTCTGTGTCCATGCAAATACTTCATTTTTATCATTAAATTAAAGTTTTCATAATGATACTTGTTTTCTCACAAAGTCCACTTTGTTTTGTTCTTTTAAATAAAGTCTTTTATGTCACCTCTTCTAGGACTACATTAAATAAGGCTATACCCCAGTATCTGCAGTTTATTTCCAGCACGAAAAAAACCACAAAAAATCAAGTCTAAAATGTCTTACAAGACAACTTGTTTTATTTGGTGTTTTCCAATGGTAGTCAAATTCTGATTTTTACCTCCATGATCCTTACATGCACATTATCTTCTCATACTGTAACATTCAGTGTTCATTTGGTACAGATCGCGTCTGCGGCAGCGGCTCAGTAGGACCCTCACTCAAAAGAAAGGTTTCCCTCATTTCACATCATTTGTTCCTGAGCCTCCTTCGCTGCAGAAGCAGATTTTTAAAACCTTGGCTTGTCGACTCATCTTACTTTTTTCAGAATCTGAAATGGTATTATGGACTAATTCCATTTTGAACATAACAAATGAGTAGTTAAGAATGACAGTTCAGCACTTGTAGGGGTTCCTTAGCGGGGCTGCATGGAAATGATGGAATTTCTAGTAGCAGAGATTGATGTCAGAGTATCCTCGCCTGAAGAATCTAGAACAAAGGAGCTACAACAGTATTGCCAAATCTCAAAATTATGAAGCTACTACAATATTGCCAAAGGAAAATGCAAGTAATTGATAAACAACAGGACAAAAGCTAGTTACATTCCTTCAATTCTCTGTTTTCTCTTCAATTGAGAAAACTTTTCTGAATAATTATATTAAAATTAGCTTTAATGAAGCCAAAGAAGCGAAGTGTGGTAAGAAAAAGGGCTCACAGCACAGTTAGTGTAAACTCTCTGAGCAGGTCTATATATAGGTCTTGGACTCATAAAAAAATTTCCCATTTTCTTATGGCCTTTTTTTATAAAGGATGAGAAAATTCCTACCATGTATACAGAACCTAAAGTGCAGGATTTAAAAAAAATTCCATGTCCAGATTTGAAGAGAATAGTCGCTAAGTGAAAGTAGTTCAAGGTCAGTGCTGGGTCAGTTGTTTCAGAACTTGGATCACTACGAAGAAAATACACAGGAATCCTCTCGGTTGCTCTAATGCCTAAAATACAGAGGGGGTATCAGCTCCCTGTTTCTCAGAGGCTGGTCTGAGGGTTCAGCTGAAGGAGACAGACTGCAATAAAAAGCAATTTGAGCTTTTACTGACATTTAGCACATTAAGACTTTTGTCCAGTTTTGAAAAGAAGACCAAGTTTAGTTTCTTTACGTTATTTGGCAATATTTTCCTATCTGAAATCCTAGAGAAAGAGATCTTTAATCCTGTTACTGTAAATTTTTGAAAAAGTGCTCCCTTTTACTGTGCATTTACGGTTTTCCACATTCCTAGGAATTACACTAAGGTGAAAGTGTTCGCCAAAGTCATAGAAAAGGCCTTGGGGAACAGAGCAACTTCGAAGTTGTAGAAACTGGGTGGTTTTTTTCAGTGAAATAGCTTTTTTTTGGCCCTTTTTTCTTTTTTTAACTGCAGTGTTTGTGAATTGGACACTTATTTATCCTATATGTTCTAGTGTAAGAGTTTCTCAAAGGAGGGGCAGGTGCTCTGTTCTCCATCACACTGTGCACTAGATGAAGAGGGTAGGTGGGTGACAGAAACTCCATGAGCTCCATCCCCTGCTCCTCCAGAAACCCCCGGCATCGGGAAGAGGAGAAACAGAAGTCCCATCACTTGATCTAAGGTAGGAAAACTGCTCCTGGTGTCCATGGATGCCGTGCGGTCACGTCTCATCTCCAGTGGCTTTCTCAAAAACGTTTTTTCATGCTACAGCTTCTTGCAAATGTGTTTGGCCCCGAAAGCAAAGCAGAGGCTGGTGTTTGGGAGCGGGGATGCACACACTGCTCCTCGGGGAGCGAGCAGACGGGGGGCAGCCCAGCTCGACTCCCCCTGCTTCCAGTCTCTGAGCAGCCAGTAATTAAATATTTCGTTTCCGAATCCAAACACATTGCTAAAACAAAGGAGGGGGTAGTTGGTAGCAGTAAGGGTGTAGCCTAAGGACTCAGAATATACATGAGGCACCGTATATCCCTAGAACTCATCTCCCATACAAAACACTATCGCTGTTTGGCTAGAGCTAGTGTAAGGCTTTAAAAGTGCAAGTGGTACAAAGAGCATAAAGAATCGTGCAGCTATTGCAAAATACTCCAGCGTGTTCCTGGGCAATTTCCTTTCCAAGGGGGCTGGTGGGCAGCATCGCTCCTGGGCTGCTTCAGCTCTGGGCAAGGCTGCCCCTAAGTCCTGTCTACCTAAAGCTGGGAATTTGTACATCAAACCCAAAGGCTTTTTTTTTAAATACACATTCACAAAATACAGGATTTGCAAAACAGTACAAAATGCACACATTTCAGGTCTGTATATATAAATAGTGAGTACCTCTTACACCAAGTGAACTTTCCCTCACTTCAGAGCATGCTTTTTAAGCAGTCGTTGATTTGGATACACATATTGGAAAGTGGCAGCATCCACACTTTAGCAGCAATTAAAAAGGGTTGGGGAGGGATTGCAAATTCAAACACAAATTCTTGCAAGACAGCAAAAGTCAGGTGTTGATACCAGTACCACTGGTGGTAGCCAGTGTTACAGGTCTGAACGGATACATACTTTGTCCTGTTTTTGGGTTAAATCAATAATTTGTTCTAGCGTGAGCGAGATCTGAACCTGTCCTTGAAAGCACCCAAACAGCTTTCATTTCGGTGACTATCTCATGTCAGACGGACAAACTATCACTTGGCACCCTCAGCTCCTGATCTCCAGCATAGCCAAGCAATCAAATGGTATTTGCTACAAGCGAACGCTGCTGTTACCTGTATTTATGACTTGGTGTGAAAAATCAGTCCTTTTATGTGGTTAGAAGCCCAGTGCTGTGTGGTGGTGACGCATCCTCGACTCCTGGCTTCAGAGCAGGGGGCCACCTGCCCCAGCCCGAGGCCCCAGCAGAGGACCCACCTGTAGGCACTTGGTTTGTGGGTGTAACTACCCCAGGGACCACAATCTACCCTCAGGAAACGTGCAGTTTTCATCAGACGTGCCCATAGCTGATGGCAGCAGTTGGCTGGAGGTGCTTTACAAAGGGCTTTGGATGGTTTGCTTTGGGTTGCTATTTACAGGCACTTCACTGTCCTCACACCTGTAAGCTCTTCTGCTCCTCGAAAAAGACATTGTCCCTTAAATTGAAAGGACCAGTTGAAAACTGACCACTACTGACTGTTGGTTTGCATACCCCTGGACATCAAACCTACACTATTACTTCAGTGTAAACTTATACCTCTTTACAAAAAATAAACACATGCTACCACTCTAACCCTAAAGCCTAGAGCAGTAAGAAGCCAGTTCAAGCCTAAGTAGACATTAAATAGCTTTGGAGTCAAATGAAATAAAAAGCTAAATCACAAGCATGTAAGATCTCCATTTGCTGCTGTCGGATTCTCCTCTAGCCCCGGGTGGTGCTCTACATCTTCGCACTCTCTGGTTTTGGTGGTTCTGCCGACTGTGTTTCCAGCACTGAATATTTAACTAGGGAGAAAGAGAAAAAATCAGTGAGTATGAGAGCACGCGATGGAACCAGAGTGCCAGCGATGGGCTCCCAGTACTGGCTGGCTGTGTGTGACATTGAACAGCCTGTGCAGCAGCCTTGATTAGCTGTCACTGAAAGAAGGATCGTGCTTTTTCTGTCTGAGACGCTCCCGATGGCTGAAAACATGAGAGCGAAATATTAACTGCCACCGTTTGCAGCGTGAGCTCCTCGGTCTCTTCCTTCCTGTGCAGTAAAGGGGGGAAAAACACTGTGGTGGGTGTTTTGGAAAAAGCTGCAGCATCACCCAAGTGGTGTCTTCATAAAAGAGACAGGGCAGCTCTGCACAGTGCGAGGGACCCTCTTACAGTCCCCAGGAAAGCCACTTTTGTGGCCAAACACAGGCAGGGTAAGGTATGAAGGGTCTCACCTTGGGGCTCCTCGCTCACAACAGCTTCCATGTTCTCTCCTTTCACGTACTCCGCGTTAAGTCCCTCTGAGAAGTAACAATAGAGAGCGTGAGACGGGAGGGTAGGAAGTAAAAATGATTTGCTTTGATGCCTTAAAAACTCTGGTAACGGGCCAACCTGCTATACCAGCCAAGATGCCTTTTTGCAACCTCCCATCAGCATCCTCAGTGGTAGAGACACCAGTAAACCTCAACCAGCGCCGAGAAAGCGCTGCTGGATTTTAAGGTGACCCCAGAGGCTGGCCTAGAAGGCACAGCTTTTAGCAGCAGCCCTTTTTTCTGAGTCTCTTGCTTCATCGTTATCTGGCGTGGCAGCACAGCTAATTACTGCGCTGAGGCACTCGGCGAGGAGATGTGCATGGAGTGGGTACATCCTCAGGATGGACGGGCCAGGGCTGCAAGAAGCAGTTCAGAGCAGGGCTGGGGTGATGCAGCGGGATCCCAGTGGGGTGTCAAACCCCAAATAAGTCCCTTATTTAAATGCAAAGAAGTTTCCAATGTTTGCAACAAGTGTCCAGGGGCAAGGCTGGGTGCTGCAATGGGGCAGCAGGAGGAAAGGGGTGGCACCGTTCACGGTGGTCCAGCTCAGAGCTGCAGAAGCTTGAGTTAAGACAGTCTGAGGCGTGCCATGGACCTCATCCACCCTCTAGAGCTCCTCTGAAGGACCTCTTTGGAGAGAGGCAGCGATGGGAGTGCTGTGCTGTTTCATCCCAGCAGGAAGGGGAGGTGGCAGTGGGGGTTTGTGAAGGAAGGTGAGGCAGTCCACGCTGTGGCCATGCGACACACGATTTTTTGGGATCTACACTTAATACACATCTACAGGCAGCATGAAGCGTGGCAGGGACTCGCTGTGCCTCACCACCAGGTTTCACTGGGGCTCACTCCTACCTGATGGGGAAGGAGGGAGACAGGGAACTGTGGCAGGGCCAAGGCAAAGCAGCAGGATGGCAGCAATGGGGCAGCCTCTGCCTCCAAGGGGTGGGAGAGAGGGAAAGTTTCTGCAACTGGCTAAAAAAAAAACCACCATAAAACTTCCCGTGCCATCAGAGACAGCCAGTCTGCAGCTGGCCAAGCCGTGGAGGCAGGAGAGGAGCTGCCCACAGCCCCCGTCCTGCCTGGGGACAGTAAGTGCTTGTGACAAAGGGACACCAAGGCTGAGGCACAGCCTAGGGCATGGCTAGTGAGGGGGAGACACGGTGTAAGGAAAAACAGTGGGATAAAGAATAGCAGGCAGCACCGTGCACATCCTTTAGAGGAATCAGCAAACACTTGCCAGGAGAGACTCAAAACTGAGTTATGGAGCTGAAGGATGGCTGGGCAAGGGAAGGAAAAAGCCGAGCCCGTTCCTCTGTGCCTCCAGCGAGTGGTCACCACACCCCCCCGCTGCCTCCCCCCAGACATGTGTTTTGCTGGGATAACACCAACTGCAATTTATGTTTCTCAATAAAAAGCCACTTTTGCAGTGGCTGACGGCTCTTAGATTTCTGTCATGCATTGCAATGCATCTAAGGCCTGACATTAGCCCAGCATGCCATGTCTGATGGCTTAAATTAATCCTCCTTTATAATTAACTTTAATTTCCTGCCGCCTTTCTGGGGCTTTGTGTCTCTCAGCTTCCCCCTCATCAAAGCCTTTACTCTTTTTTTTTTTTTAATTATTTATTCTTGCCAAAATATCATTTAAGTGGGGGGAATATACAAGGGTGTTTCATTCCATCACATTCATTTGACTTTTCCTGCTGATCTAATTTACCAAAATGCTCCTGTTTGTTTCAGGCACGACTGGGAAAATAGCACGATTCCTGCAGAAATTTCCAACCCCAAACACCCTTCCCCCAGAGCAAAGGAGACTCGCAGGAGATTTCAATTGATTAATTTAAAAAGAGCTTTTTCCAGCTGTTTGCAACCAGCCCTTAACAGGCTCAGGAGCCCACCGTGGCCAGGGTGGTGCCGTGGGGTGAGGCTGTTGGGACACCTCCTGTGATGCTGCCACTGGGAAACTTTATGGGGCAGCTCCTGCAAAAGGTGCTTTCTGGGAGTAAGAAGCTTTGCTGCTTCATTTGCACTTAATTGCAGTGATTGCTGCACACCTGCAGGAGGGTGGGGTGGGTTGTACCACCCATGGTGCCAGAGTTGCAGATGCTCCCTGTGCTTCCTTCACTGTGGCCACTGTTGCTGCTGCTGCCTGGTGAGTTTTTACCTTTTGCTGAGATTTTGGGTGGGTTTTTTTTGGTTTGTTTGCTTTAGGGTGGGTTTTTTCCATATTTACCCTGTTTGGTGTGGGTGGTTTGGGCTTTGGCTGTGACTGTGTTGCCACCGGTGGGGTCAGGGGGGCTTGGCAAGCCATGGCTGAGGCTTTGCTCTGCCAGCTCTGGGCCACTGGATACCTGATATCCCCCTTCTGCCTCCAGGCTGTGAAACAGCAGCAGGGTTAAGGGGGTAAATAGGTGGGTGCTTGCTCTGTGTTCGGGGTAGGATGTGACACAACTTACGCTGGATGCTGAAGCAGAACTTCTTCTGCTGGTAGGAGATGTAGCTGGAGACGGCCCCGATGAGTGCCATGGCCAGGGCGCTGGCGATGCCAGCAATCGTTCCCGTCTCTGCCACTGTGGGGCACAGAGAGAGTGGGGAGCTGTGTGGCAGGGGTACACGCGCCACCCGTCCCCTCCCGTCCCACTGCCGTCCCCGTGGCCATGGTGGTACCTACCTCCGCCGTAGTTGCTGTCGGTGTTGCCCCCGGCACCTGCAAGAGACACAAACCCGTCAGTGGCCCCGTGTCCCTCTGCTCCCCCTGTCCCTGTGTGGGGCAGCCTGGGACAGAGTGGGCACATGGGGCAGGGGCAGTGGTGCAGCCCCAGGGGCACCCCAGGGCTGGGGATTAGTGTGTCCCCCCATGGGGTGCAGTGTCTCTGCTGCCCCACACCTCTGCCTGGCTGCCCCAGGTGGCTCCTTGCTGTTTCTCAGAGGGGTCTGAAGCTGATCTGATCTGCCCTCCCATCGTGAGTGCTTGGGGACATGCAGGGGACATCCCTCCCTCCATCACAGTTCACCTCACCTCTGTGCAAAGGGCAGATAAATGATGTGTTGTCAGACAGGGAGCACACTTGGGCCACCACAGGGAGGTGGTTCGTGAAGCTCTGTAATGTCAGGGAACCCTCACTCGGCTTGAAGTCTATTTTAAAATCACCTTCCCTGGAGAAACTGGGTTGGGAGGAGAAGCTGCTTCTTCTGGAAGCTGCAGCCCTCACTGAGTCACTTACATCCTGAATTTATGGAAGCAGGTCAGCATTGTATTAATGCCTCTGATGCGGTTTGTCCTTGGCACAGGGATTCATTAAATGTTGATTGGGCTTGTGGCATTCATCTCTTTACTTGACTGCTTTTAATATTTAATGCTGCGGATCCTCGCAAAGGCGCAGGCTTATCCCATTGTTGCTGGTTTTCCTTCTTGTTTCAGCCACTGGTGGTCACATGGTGGAAGGTAAACGAAGGCTTGTGCCCTCTCATGGCACAGGGGTGGGCATCTGCTTTCGAGGTGGATGGGGAGATGTGGGTCCCGTCTGCCCTGGTGGCAGCTGGAGCTGCAGAGCCTCCACACAGTTCAAAAATCAGCACCTCCAACCACTGGCATGAGATATGACCCTGGAGGCCAAAAACTGGGTTCCAAGTTCCAACTACTGAGGAAAAGGATCTGGGGGTCCTGGTAGACAGCACACTTTCCATGAGCTAGCAATGTGCCCTTGTCGCCAAGAGGGCCAATGGAATCCTGGGCTGCATAGGGAAGAGTGTGGCCAGTAGGTCAAGGGAGGTCATTCTCCTTCTCTACTCTGCACTGGTGAGGCCACAACTGGAATCCTGCGTCCAGTTCTGGGCTCCCCAGTTCAAGAGAGACAGGGAACTACTGGAGAGAGTCCAGCGTAGGGCAACAAAGATGATTAAGGGATTGGAGCACCTCCCTTACGAGGAAAGGCTCAAGGAGCTGGGGCTCTTTAGCCTGGAGAAGTGAAGGCTGAGGGGAGACCTTATTTATGTTTATAAGTATCTAAAGGGTGGGTTGAAGGATGTTGGAACTGGGCTCTTTTCAGTGGCTTCCAGCAATAGGACAAGGGGCAACGGGCTCAAGCTGGAACATGGGAAGTTCCATTCAATTATGAGAAGAAACTTCTTTATGGTGAGGGTGACGGAGCACTGGAACAGGCTGCCCAGGGAGGGTGTGGAGTCCCCTTCTCTGAAGATCTTCAAGACCCGCCTGGATGCAGTCCTGAGTGATGTGCTCTGGGCAACCCTGCTTTAGCAGGGGAGTTGGACCAGATGATCTCTAGATCTGACAATTCCGTGATTCCAAGGCTGAGAGCCCCTTTCCCTGCGTGCGTGCCCCCTTGAGAAGGTGAGGTTGGGCGATACCGTGACTATTGCCTGAGCCATGACTGCAAAAAGCAAACGAGCAAACGTAGGTCACCACTCACCTTTCTTCTCGTCTGGGCTGTAGCCGCCATCCACAATGCTGGCCAGGTCGTCATCTGAAAACCCTTTAAAAATAACAGCAACAAATGGTGGCTGGCACCTGAAGGGAGATGTGGGAGGTGGCATCCCCGTGGAGAGCTCTCATGGGCTTCACGTGTGCCCCATGGCAGAGGGGGAGCTCACCCTCCCGACCCACATAAACCCAAATTCAGCCACTGAAACACCACAGCTGCTGCCTGGGAGGGTGAATGCAGCCAGAGCTGCTGAGGAAACATCATCACAGGAAGGAAAAACAGTGCGTGGCTTGGAATGGGAGGTATCCCAAAAATCAAGTGTCTTTGGACATGCGGGGCCTGGAAATGGGACTTCTGGGGGATTCTGGGCAGGGGTTGCCTGTGAGCATCCGTACCTGGGGTGGGACTGGCCTCCTGCAAACCCCTGCTCCTGGAGAAATGCTCCTCTCTGGGCAGATGGAGCCTGCTCTACTCATTCGAGTATTTTCTCTAAAACTCTACTTCTCCAAAACAGCTATTTTGAAGAGCCGTGTGGGGCTTTCTGTGTGGCAGAGACCGGAGCAGGGCTTTGCACCCCCATTTAAACCAGCAGCTCCCAGTCAGCTGGTACTCAGTCCCCAGCGAGAACAGGGACTGCGCAGGATGCAGTTCTGCTTCTCTCACAATTACCAGATGTTAACAAAACATTTAACCAAAACTGTTTTAAGCTCCTAAAAATTGACTTTAAGCCAAGCTTGAAAGAAATATCCTTGAATCAAAGTTTAAATCACTGCGTTATTTTCCTTTTTTAACTGAAGTGACTGGTGTATCTATGAGTTTATGAAATGTTTTGGCTGCTGAGCCTCAGCTGGCAGGGGAGGAAGAAGGAGGAAGCAGTTTGTGTGTGTGATGGTTGTAATGCCAGGGACCAATGTGCCCTTGCCCTGCCTCTGGCAAGCCCCCAGCAGTGCCAGCCTGCTGGCCCAGGGCCCTGCAGGCAGGGAGCTGACTCTCCTCCTTCCCAGAGGGATGGAGCAGCTGCAGCAGAAGAACTGAGCACCAGCACGTCTCGGTACAGGTGAAGTTACCTCAGTTGTAGTGGGAGTGTTTAATTTGCACAGGACAGGCGCAGAGAAACGGCCTGGGCACCAGCAGGTGAGTGAGTGGAGGTGTTGAACCCCTCAGCTCCGGTCCCAGAGGGAACCTTGGGGTGCAGCGAGGCATCTGATGGGAGAAGAGACCCAGCACTGAGCCAGCATCTCTGATGCTGTGCCTTGGGAAGGGTTACCCTTGCCTTAATAGCTGGAAAGAGACAGCCTTATTCACCACCTTACCCCAAAAAACAGATTTATGGGCTTAGTAATGAGTGTAAAAAGAGGGGAAAAAAACCAAACAAACCCTGACTATGCCAGAACCCGGAGAGGTCCCAGGCAGGTCTGGGCGCAGTGATGCTGGGGGAACAAACATGTGTGCTGGTTTGTGAACCGTGCCATGTTCCAGAGGTTCAACACCTCAACCTTTCCTGCAGGGGTCTGAAACCTCAACAAGCCCAGAATATCAAAGTGCAGGCAAGTCACCTAGTTAATGCAATCTAATAAAATATCTGACTATTAATTACACGTGCGAGCAGGGTATACAGCCATCTTGACGTCAATAAACTGGCCGTGCAAAGTCTGTTTTCTAGCTCAAGTGCTCAAGGGAACAATCCTCGTAGACAAAGGATTCATTCACCGGAGTATTTTAGAGATGGAAAAAAAAAAATAATATCTCAGAGCCCATAGCGTATGTTATGCCAGGACCTAATCCTGCTCTAGATTGATGTCTTGGCAATGCCTGTGAACCCCAACAGCGCATGCCCTGGGTTAAATAGCTGTCAGGTGTGGGGATGAGAGGGAGTTTAACACAATCGCCACAATTCAATGGGTCAGAAGAGACCCTGGGGAAGAAACCTGGGGACAGGCAGCAGGTGGTTTGGCAGAGCCCCTCTCTGCCAAGGGCTGCCAAAGTTGGGGCTCTGGGAATGTCCCCCCTGCACGGGCAGGGTAGGGCAGGAGCCTCGGACAAGGCAGTGCCTTTGTTCCTCCTTGCCCCATGGCATCGCATGGATGGTGTCTGGCAGCGAGTGCCTGTACCTGGCTGGTAGCACACAGGACAGAAGGGAAGTCAACGTACCTTCACCTGGCCTTAAGTTTGGCCTCCCGGGATCTTTCCTATCGTTCTTATCGTCAAGGGCATCAGCCAAGTCAAAATCCATAGGATCCTTTGCTAAAGATAACAACACGGGGGTTAGTGGTGCTGGCCACAGGCTGGGAAACTCTGCAATTGATTCATTAACCAGGGGAATGTTCAGCTTTGCCAGGGAAAAGAGATGATGTCTCCAACACAAGCATTTCCCAGTTTTGCTATGCGGTGGTGTGGCAGATCTTCCAAACCCATCCCATTTTGTGCCCTCATGCCGCCGTGGTGGGAAATGCTGTGTTCTTCCTGCAGAAAGGGTCTCACACCACGGCCTGAGTGCCAGGAGATGGGATAAATCAAGCCAGATAGAAAAGGAGGGAGCCAGACAGGCGCTCCCAAGGAGGAGGCAGTGTTGGAGGAGGTGCTCCCGGCCAGGGGCAGTGTTGGAGGGGGACACCTGGGAGGGGATGGAGGTGGCTGTGCCGTGCTGGTGTGCCAGCTGGAGCGATCTGCAGCGTGATTTCTCAGTGTTATTTTCCTCCACGCGTCGCCCAGCCCAGCCCTGACAGAGCATCTATTGCTAAAGAGCAGCTAAAGCTGCAGCAGGGAGCCAAGCTGAGCTCCTTCGCCCTCCCACCTGAGCTATTCCCATCCAAAAGCAGTTATTTCTGAAGCCTGGGAGAACCTTTTTCCCAAAACTCTGTGTGTAAACAGGCAGCAAGTGCCACAGGGTGCCCTGAGCCTGTGGGACAGGGGGGTCGGTGGAGCCCGGGGTGGCTGGGCTGTGCCGTGCCAAGCAGGACAGCAACCCACAGCCTGAATCCAGGCAAAGGCAAAGCCGTTGAGACCCCTAAGAAAGTGCAGGATAATGCCAAGATACCGTGTCTGCCGTGTGATTTTCTATTTAGGTTGTGGGTTTTTTCCTAGATGTCTCGTGAACAAAGCCAGCAGAGGCTGGCAATAGCAGGGTGAGGGGCCGTGCCACTGTCACAGCGTGTCCCCAAGTCTCTCCCCGTGCCAGGGTGAAGCCACAGGAGCTTGTCCTCACCTGGGTTACGCTTGGGGGAGGCCGTCGTAGTTTTTGGCTTCTTGGTTGTGGTGGTATGGATGACATCCCAAAAGCTGTTGTCTGAAGGGAGAGGGGGGCGGGGGAAGAAAGAGAGACAAAAATGATGTTACCCTCTGTCCTGGTTTGAGCTGAATTTTACTCTTTCAGTAATTTCACTTTTCAGTAAAGTCTTTTCTAATGCTTGGGAAAACTGCACTTTTAGAAGACTCCAGTGTCTGAATTTGTGACAATGTTTACTTTATTGACAGCTATGGCATGTGGGCTTCAAGATCTCAGTGTTTTTGAGACTCCTCAGCAAAAGAGGAGGAGCAAGAACTAGGTGCCTGAACCAAGCTGCCAACAGGACTGTTTCATACCATGAGTGTCACATTCAATGTAAATTAGAAAGTTTGCTGCAGAGTTCTCTCTCTTCTGTGATGGCTGCCATCCTGAGAACTTCTTGCCCCTGAGCCCTTCCCTTCCTCCCAAAGCCACAGTGCTGGCAGTGTCCCCCTCCTGGCATGTCAGCGAGAGCCTGGAGCATCTCCTCGGCCGGCAGGAGCAGAGGAGGTGGTGGTCACCTTTTGAAGTCACCTGTTGGTGGTCACCAGTACTTGCTGGAGCTCATCTATCAACACCTGATCCCAGCCTCCTGGGATGGCTCCCGGTTCCCTGGGGAGCATTTTCCCCCATCCAGAGCCCCGAAGGTGAACACACATGCTCCCTCCTGGGTGGGGGGAGCTGGGCAGTACCTGGCTTCCCGGGCCTGGGGAAGGGCTTCGGAGTCGGCTTGGGTGGTTTGGTGGTTGTGTCCAGAGGGGTGTCAAAGTAATCAGCCAAATCAAAGCCTGTTGGAGGAGAGAAGGGATCATCAAAACCCCCATCATTTATGGGGTGGTGCAAGGCTTTTGGCCCATCTCACCCAGCGGGCAGCTCTGCAGGTGATGCTGCACCAGTGCCCCATCAGCGTGGGGCTGAAAAGGGCATCCAGCTGCTCTGCTGCTCAATCACAACCCTGCTGCAGGCTTCAGATCAGCCTGGCCACCGCTTCACTCTCCCCCACCCGAGCTGTGGCTGCTGCCCATCCCCAGCCTGAGCAACCCCAAAATAATGTATTCTTGGGGGGAGACCTGCTGGTCTCCTGCAGAGGCTGCAGATGAGCAGGAGCTGCAGGGATTGAGCTGGTGGCCAGGACCTGCTCTGCTCCCTGCATCACTGCCCACGCGTGACCCTGGGCTGAGTGGAGCTTGTACAGGAGAGGGGGTTAGGGCATGGGAACCTGCCGCAGGAGCCCCTCGGTGCCATCACTCATCCAAAAAGCACTCCCCGGGGAAGAAGAAACTTGCCAAGACAAAGCCTCAGCCTCGGCATCCATCCATCTCCCGGGGAGAGGTCACTGGATGAAATGACCTCTCGTCGTTCGGGCTGGGATCCAAACAACGAAGCCCTGCGCGTTCTTCTGGCACTTGGCTTTTCTTGTCCCTAGCCAAGATCAGGGTGGTCAAGGAGCTGGGCAGTCGGATGGGCTTAAATTTGTGCCAAGGTCCTTACGCAGGGGCGAGCGGGTTCACTCCTGAGCCTGCCTCCCCTGCAGTTTATTTCTGGCTCCTCTGGCAGGGTTGAGCAACCCTCGGCTCTTGTGACCGCGCTATATTTAAGTAGGTATGTTTGGCCAGAGAAGCTGCCAATGATGAAACTCGAGTGAATTTAAGGGAGCTTCCTCATCGGGGGCAGATGCCGTGGAGCCAGCCAGCCAGGACATCTGACAGGCACAAAGAGTTGGAGAGACGTGTTTTCCCTGGATGGGGAAATGTCCCCAGGCTGGGGCCAGTCTGTGGATGTTGGGGATATCTTGGAGAAAATAAAATGGAAGGAAAATGTTCTCCGGGCTCCCCCCTGGAAGGAAAGCTAGCAGGTGCCACGCAGCCAGAAACAAAAGCCCTTGTGCAGCTGAGCAGTGATTTGTGTCTTTTCCATTCGGATACTGCAAAGTGTGCAAAATTCAGCCCTGGCTGTAAATGCTGAGGCCACTCGCCTTCAGTATGGACAGGAATATCAATATTGCATTTACTTTGGCCGTATGGATAGAGTGCACGTGTGCGCACCGGCACCAGCTTTCTTATGGGCAAGTGACGGTGTCCACACCAAAGCCTCTGCCATGGCAGCAGCATCCCAGCCACACACACACACACACGCAGCCTGGGGGGGCTCCTGTGGTTCAAACCCCCGTGGGAAACAAACCTGAACAATATGCAAACTTAAATGATATGCACACAAGAAGGTCTCACCTGTCCTACCTGCCCCACCTGCCGGCTTTCTGGGGCTCTTGGGAGTGGCTGTGACAAAACAAGAGAGGGAGGAAAATGTTAGTCGTGGGCATCACCGAAAACGCGTCACTCCTGGTTTGAGAATCACTGAATTTCACTGAATTTTTAGAGTTGGAAGGGGCCATAGAGATCATCTCGTCCAACTCCCCTGCTGAAGCAGGATTGCCTAGAGCTTGTCAGAGCATGTTACTCAGGAGCATCCAGGCGGGTCTTGAAGATCTCCAAAGAAGGGGACTCCACGCCCTCCCTGGGCAGCCTGTGCCAGGGCTCCGTCGCCCTCACTGTGAAGAAGTTCTTCCTCATATTTGAGTGGAACCTCTTATGTTCCAACTTGTGCCTGTTGCCCCTCGTCCTCTCACTGGGAACCACTGAAAAGAGTCTGGCTCCCTCCTCCTTCAACCCACCCTTGAGATACTTGTCAGCATTAATAAGGTCTCCCCTCAGCCTTCTCTTCTCCAGACTAAAGAGGCCCAGCTCTCTCAGTGTTGCTTCATAGTGGGGATGCTCCAATCCTTGAATCATCTTTGTTGACCTTCGCTGGACTCATTCCAGTAGTTCCCTGTCCCTCTTGAACTGGGGAGCAGAGACAAAGGGCAGAGATTTCACCCCAAGCTTTTCCAGCTGAGCATCGCTGCTCTGTGTTTGTACACTCAGAGCCACGGGAGCCCCACACACAGGGCGAGTGGCCACAGGGAGGGGGACTGCCCGTGCCCAAGGGCGAGTGGTGACAGCCCCGTGCAGGATGGGACCCAGAGCTCTGCAGGGCACAGCTGTGCCCGGGGCTGAAGGCTGCCTCCGTGCCCGCCAGCATCCCGAGGAGCGGGACGCAGAGCACTGTAATGAACTGTGCCCAATTTAGACAGCAGCAAAAAGAGGAAGGGCAGATACTGTACAGAATAGCATCCAAAACAAGAGTAAGCTGCCAATGTTTTGCTGTCCCTTGCCCGGTCGGGTTAGTTAAATGACAGATAATTTCCCGTGCTGTGTTATATACGGGAGGTTCCCCGTCAGCTGGAGGAATTTTGGTGACAACCCCATGTTCAGATTCCAGCCCCCCTGGCCGCTCCTGGGGTAAAACAAGCTACACTCAGCCTTTGGGGGGTTTGATTATGTATTTTTTTCAGGGCCTGTAAACCACTATCTATTAATAGTGGATAACATTACCAAGGATATGAATAAATTATAAGCAAGAGCCGTGGCTGCTCTATTCCCATTAATTTCCATTTGCGCCTCTGAATACGGGAGTGCTGCTGCTGGGGTTCATTTCCAGTGTGCTGGCACAGTTTGACCCGACCCTACTCCAGGCCCCTCGCTTGCTTTTATTCCAGGGCTGATGTGATGAAGTTCCCAGCGGGATGCAGCAGCTGGGCAGGCTGGGACTCCAGCCTGGGGAAACGCTGCTTTCCCTCTGCAGGAGGTGGCCGTTAGGTTTTTCTAACCAGGTCTCCCCACAACACACTATAAAAGGACTTGTGAAATCCTAGATGAGATCTCTCAGACCCGTGACCAAGTCTGGTACCCCATGGTGTATCCTCCCCGCCTCCTGCTGACCCGGCACGCCGCAGGAGAGGTGCATGGAGCATCTGGACTCTTTATTCCATGTAAACTCCAATGTAACACAAGTGTCTGTGTGTTGTTAGGCTGTGAAGTAAGAGGTTTCAAACCCTGTTACTGCTTTCACTTAACCACCTGCAGGTGCATTTTGTGTGGTCACAGAGGTCGGCATCGCTCGCAGAGCACCCTCAGCTACTGCCTGGCCAGGCACTGGCTCTGGGGAGGGTCACCATGAACCCCATGGGCAGTGAGGGGTCCTGGGCACAGGCGTTGGCAGCTCCACCTTGGCATCTCCATGGCTGGGCAGCACAGGGGAGCGTGGGACATGTCTGGGTACAGACCACTCTTGGGCTCAGCCCTCGGGGCTGGGGACAGGCATGAGATGTGCCCCTGGGAGGGAGAGGAGCTGCTGCACAGCAATTAGCTTATCTCTTTTGGGTGTAAAACGAGAGCTGCTCCCAGTCACTATCCCCAGTCCCACCTCTTGGCAAGCCTGGACACCGCATCTCCCCGGGCAGAGATGAGGAGACAGCCCGTATCCTCCACCACCCTCCCTCCAGCATCAGATCCCAAAGAACAAATTGCATCTGTTAATGACTACTTGTTTTCTCCTCTTGAAAAGAATAAATAAATACATGTGACTTACGTCGCTTGTCGCCGGGGTCATACAGGGCATCTTCTAGGCTGAAGTCACCTGGGTCATCCCCATGACCTGGAGACAAAGAATCAGCACTGGTTGTTCTTGCTCCGCACAAAGTAAAACGCCTTTGAATACAGCGTGGCTAGACTCATTCACTCAAATTGCTTTAGTTTTTAAAGGGCTTTCTGTTTTTTCCTAAGCCTGACCCATCATTGGCCATGAGGAAGACATCAGCCTTCTCCAAATGCCGTGACTGGTAAATTGCAGAGCAGTCATCTCCGGATTTTCCATTTGTCTGCCCTAATGGATGTGGGATAAAAACACACGCTATGCTTGAATTTGTCAAGGAGAGCCTACCAATTCATCTCGCGAGCTGCCACTCATCTGTGGCTGTGCTCGTGATTATACATTTGCTAAACACCGTGAAAACATTGGGACAGCGCAGACAAATTCGGTGAAAAACAAAAAAGCCCTATGCACCTCTTCTTCGCAAGTGCCTTCCAACATCAAAGGCTTCGTACGAAAACGCTGCTGCTGGCTGCCGAGCACGACTTAGCATTTCAGAGACCTCCTGCATCACTCTGCCTTGGTAACACCAGCCAGGACCAAAGCCCCATCCCAGGGATACACCTGACGGGCACAGGCAGATTGTTTTTCTTAGAGATGCCTCGCCACAACCCCAGTCACTTCATAATATCCCGGGGATAACTGGGTGCTACGCCGTGTTCTCCTGCGATAGGGCCAGCTAATCCTTCCTTTCTCTGCCTTTTTTTTTGCATCGCGTTAATTACTGTTGACTTACCCTAGTTCTGAATGTATTTGTCTTGATAAATTCATGCTTTTACATCTCAGAGCATGCTGAGTAATTAATATCCTTTGGGTTTGCTAAGTACTGCAGCACTGCGAGAGAACATTAAAATGGCTTTCCTCTTATTCCTACTGCTAAATGGATTTAGCTATTGCCACCTGAGCTCCGGCGTGCTTCATGAATAAATTTAAAGCTTTACTGACAAGGACAATAACAACGGGAAGGTACCCGTCCATCAGAAAGCAGGTATCAGCATTTTGGTGAAAAACTTCCACCAGGAGTGGTCACTAAGTACTGCGACACCTCCAGCTCTGGTTTCATGTACTCACACAGCCCATCTCCTCTCACCTGCCGTCCGTTTAAACGTGCACTCAGCAAACCTGGGCGTGATTTAAATGCAGGGCTTATGGCTGGGGAGTTGCTCCAGGCTTCTCTCCCCTGGCAAAGCACTAAGCTGCTACGGGATGTGGATGTGTAAGTAATAGATGTCCCAGCCCCAGGGCTGTGTTTCTCATCAAGACGAAGGGAGGCAATGGTTCTCCCCGAAGGGCTGGCAGCGGGCGATGCCCCGTCGCAGGTGGAGCCGTTACCGCCATGTGAAATCCGTGGAGTGAGGTGTGGGGATGAGCCCCCAGCTCAGAGCAGCACCACGGCAGGGTTTGCTTGGTCACCCCCAGCCTCCCCTGCACACCCCTCCCCTCCCTCACCGAAATATCTGCCTCTTGGGCCTTATTGCTGATGAAATATTGGCACCGCCAGAAAGGGATGCTCTCCCACTCCCACAGCCTGGGTGAAGCCACAGGGTTGCTTGTGCAAAGGTGGAGGTGCAAAATCAGGAAGGAGCAGGATCATCCACGACGTTACAAGAACACCCTCCCAGCTTTAGCACTCACACAAGGTGCTGCTGAACCACCAGCATGTCCCTGCTGAGACCCCACGAGCTCATTACTGCAGTGGCTGATTGTCCCAGTCTTGCTACTCCGGCAATATCAAACAGGCTCTTTCTCCCAGTATGGGGCTTGTGCAAAGGTGGAGGTGCAAAATCAGGAAGGAGCAGGATCATCCACGACGTTACAAGAACACCCTCCCAGCTTTAGCACTCACACAAGGTGCTGCTGAACCACCAGCATGTCCCTGCTGAGACCCCACGAGCTCATTACTGCAGTGGCTGATTGTCCCAGTCTTGCTACTCCGGCAATATCAAACAGGCTCTTTCTCCCAGTATGGCTTTTTCCTCTGCCTTTACTGGATTTTCAGGAACCGGTGGGGCTCCGTTGTTCTTGTCTTTCTATTTTAAACCGTGCTTAAAAAAAAAAGAAAGTGGAAGGGGAAAACCGCAGGGTGTCTCTGGGGGGATGAGAAGTGCCCCAAACCTGACGGGTGGGAAACGTGCTGTCGCTGTGGTTCATTTCGGTTCCCCATGGCGGTGGCGGGCAGGGCGAGCTGGCAGCAGGGATGTGGTGGTGGCAGCGCCCAGACTCACATTGGTATTCCAGGAGCCACCCCTTCCCTCTGCTCACTCCCTCTGATTAAGTAAATGTTAAGGGCACTGATTTGCAGCACGCCGAGCCCTGCTGTTAGCGCAGCCTCCTCGTGCTTCGCCTTTGGTGTACGACCACAAATACCCCCTGCCCGGCTTTGGGGAGGCTCACTGGACCCGTTGGCTGAGCAAAACTGACATCTACTTGGGTTTGGTGACGGCTGCCATTGGCACCTCTCCCCGCAGGATGAGAGGAGGGTGCTGCTTCCAAAAAGCACCCTGCAAAGTGCCAGCTGGCACCCCAGAGGGTCTGAGGGGGGAAAGGGTCTCAGGGCCCTCTATCCTCATGGAGCTGATGGAAACCAGCAATGGCTAACATGTCTGGGGAGTCCCCTGCCCCGGGAGAGGTGTGCAGGCAGGGGGTGGGAAGGCTGGGAGCAGTGTGGATGCACCAAATCACCCGGTACAACCTTCCCCAGGGGGTGCAGCACTTGGCACAGCCCCACTCCCAGGGCTTTCCCACCGCTGCCCACGGCAAATGGAGATCCTTTTCCAGGGGAGTTTGAATCCAGGAATCCCCTAGGCACTGGCAAGGATTAATAATAGATTGCCACTTAATTGCGGCTGACAACATCTTTATTTCATGCAAAGGGTGTTACAGAGACGTATTACACCTTTTATGGATCAATAACCCAGCGCTGCCGTCAGAGCCATGCGAACTCCCCTGCTCGCTCCCAGCCATCAGAGCTGAGCACCCTCCTCCGTGCTCTTCTAGTCACTTATTAAGTGGAGACAAACCCGGCCCTTCACAGCCAGACGCTTCAAACCCAACACCAGCGCTCGGTACGCCTCTTTACCTTGCAAATGCAGTTTTTTGGGAGGCAGCACTGCTGCTCCCTGCACTGTCTCCTGCAAATCCTCTGCTCCTGGGGTCCCGGTCCAGCTCTGTGACCACCAGAGGAGAGGGGCTCCCAAAGCCCATCCTCTGATGGGAGCCCAAGTGTCTATGTATTAAGGGTTTATATTCTCTAGGAGAAGCTGGGGGCACGTTCCTACGTACTAGAGCTCACAAGCAGTTGCTGCAGAGTTGCAGAGGTGTTCGTAATGCAGGCACAGTGGTTGGGGTCCTGCACACCCTGACGTTTCACCTCCCCTCTAGGACAATCCCACACTGCCTGCGACCTGCTACTGGACTAGAAGACCATTGACATGCAAAATTATCTGCCACTGGTTGCTTGGTGCTGAGGAGCAGTATGGGATCTTCACCAGGGTTGATGACTAGACTAGTTTGGGGTTTTTTTTCCCCACCCTTGCACTGGGTCCTTGGCAGAAATCTTTGTCTCTGGCTCTGGGAGAAAAGGCACATCCCCAGGGGTGGCTGGGAGGCGATTCAAGCCCTGTGTGCCAGCTGACCAAGGGCACTGGAGCATCCATCCACAGGCCTGCAGGTCTATGGCAGGGGGGGCAAAATGAGCAAATGAGACACGTTTTCCATATTTTTCTTTAATAAGACAATGAAAAGAAACCGAGCCAGGTCATATCATGGTACCTAATACGAATCCTGTGATGCCAGAGCGGGGAGGTGAGGGCACCCCAAGGTGGCAGCTGTGCCGGGGTAGAGGCTGTAAAACAGAGGGAAGAGTTATGGCCGAGCCAGCACCACGGGCTCCCTGCCTCTCACTGAGTCCCCTCGCCTTGCCGGGGGTACTTTTAACCAGAGCAAGCTGCTCTTTGAAGGTAGAAGGGGTTCTGTGCCTTAATGTATTCTCTCCTCATTATTTTCTGTAGCAGGCAGCTCAAACGTGCAATTGTACTCGTCAGCTTTTTAGTTTTCACAATTATATATATATTCTAATTAAGCCCCACTGTTTGACAAAGCTTGAATTACAGTATCGTAATTCACACCCAGCACATTGCTAGGCCGTCGGCAGCGCTGGGAGTGAGGTGTGTGCCATTTTTAGTGCCAGCCCACGGATCTCTTTGTGCAATATAGATGTGTTTGGCTTCCCTGGGAATTGAGAGCCCGCCACGGCACGAGATTGACAGCCCGGGAGATTATGGGGGAATGCAAAGCAGGTACAAGGGCAGCGGAAAGTAATTCAAACTGCCTGACTTTATGCATGTACCTGAGGAGTGCTGTGGCAGGCGGCGGGGGGGAGAGCAGGAGGAGAGCATGGAAAGGTACCAGGGTCTCCCCAGCGACCAGCGTTGTTTATTTTGGCTCCCAGTTATGGTGTTGGCACACACAGCTGTGCTGGCTCCTCTGCAGGGTGCTGGGGATGGAGGTGTTTTGGGTGCAGGGCTGTGTTGTGCTGCCAGCGCTGGGCTGCATCCTCACAGCGGCGTTTCCCAACATCTCAGCAAAGACACAGCCCCAAAGGTCTGCAGGGAGCAAACGGCTGCTCCTCTGTGGGCACAGGTCTGTCCTACAGCTACTGGGCCTCCAGGGACCCAGGGTCCCCGGGGATCTCTCCTGGAGCAGCACAGACCAGAGCTCCAGACTCGCTGATGCTCTCCACCACCACTGCCTGGGCGCTGGCCCCAGCCGCCTGCCAAACATGTGGCAAATTTACTTGCGAGTGCCAAGTTGTCTGTAAATCTCAAGTTCTTGCTGACTACTAAGGCCAAGCCTACGCAGGTAGGGGGAGCAGAGCTCCTAGAGCCTTATGGATGGTGTCCAGGAGCAGCACTGGCAGGTAAGGACAGCCTCGGAGCAGCTACACTTCTCTCCAGAGAGATGCCCAGGCTGTCTCCCGAACACAGACCTCCCCCTGAAGTTACCCTGCTTTGGAAAGCAGAGCCTGAACTTCCTCCAGCCCCTTGGCCACTGCCAGGGAAGACAGACTGCCCAGGGACATGCTCCTGCACAGACATCCCCGCTGGGACAAGGAGAAGCAGGGCTCAGCTGGGAAGCGGCGTGGGGGAGAAGCTCAGCCCCCTGCACCCACCGTGGCAGTGGGACGGGGGGGCTGAGCCCAGGGGTACATCACCCCAGCCAGGAGAGAGCGGTGGGACACAGCCCCCCAGCTGGGACAGCCCCTGCTCCTCCCCAGGGACAAGGTAACGCTGCCGCCCTC